CTCACATCCTCATGTTTGCATAGCACTAAGTAAGCTGACTCTCCAGCCTTAGAAATGAACTAATTTTATAAAATGAGTTTTGTTTGGTTTTTTAAAATTACAGAATTCTAGGATGCAAGATGATCCAATAGATAAACATGCTTACTTCTATGTCTTCCTGACTGGGTTGTTTATTGTTTAACTTATTTTATTTTAGATGTATGACTGTTTTGCCTATATCTTATCTGTGTACCATGTATGTGCCTGGTGCCCACAGAAACTAGAAGGGGACATTGGAACGCCTGGAATTGGAGTTACAGATATTTGTGAGCTGCCATGTAGGTGCTAGGAATCAAACCCAGGTCCTCTATAAGAGCAGCCAGTGTTCTGTAACCATTGAGCCATCTCTCCATCCCCTAAGTCTGATCCTCAGGACCCATATGCTAGAAGTAGAGAACCAGTTCCCATAGATTGTCCTCTGACCTCCATACTAATGCTGTCACACACATACATAAAATGTAGTTGTGTGTGTGTGTGTGTGTGTGTGTATGAAAGTAAAAGTCAATCTTTTAAATCATAAATTTCTGTTTTTACTGCCATGATCTGTTTTACTTTTTTTTTTAAATCATCCCTGGCCCCACTTTGCATTCTTTTTAATCTTAACAACATGAAAGCATAAGTTAAAGTTGATGGGATGCTTGGAAGCAGTACGAGTCAATTTACTGTCTCAATTAGGTAAGGTACCCTGCTCATTTTCAAAACCTTTCCAGTATCAGAGACCCTATTTACACAATGTGGCAATCTATTCACTTCACGTTTAAAGAAATCAAATTGCCAGGATGTTCTTTCTTACAACTAAACTTATCTCTTCCATGGATTCTACCCACATACTCCTAGAGGTACAGAAGCACAACGGCTTTAATCAGACATCCAGGGATCTATGAGACAGTAAGTTAGGATCATATCCATTCAACCCACTTTTCTGTTGTGGAAAATGAAGGGGTTGGACCAGTTAATATGTCTTCTAGCTTTTAAATTACAGGTTTTTAATAGCCCTTCAGGATAATCTTGGGTGGGGTTGTACAGTTGGTAGAGTGCTTGCCTCCTTTTATTTTTGTTATCTTGATCAAATGCCGTTACAAATAGCTACTTAGGGTCTTCCCACATCAATTAAGACAATCGAGATTACCCCTCAGAGCCATGGCAACAGGCCAACCCAGATAATTCCTCACTGAGATTCTCTTCCTAGATGACTCTAGATTGCACTGAGTTCACAATTAAAACTAGTAGGGGCTGGAGAGATGGCTCAGTGGTTAAGAACGCTGGCTGCTCTTTCTGAGGATCTGAGTTTGGTTTCTAGCACCCACACAGCAACTTAGAACTTTCTGTAACTCCAGTTCAGGAAACCCAATGCCTTCTTCTGGCCTCCATGGGCACTGCATGCATATGCTATACACACTGGTTTGATCACTGGCACCATTTCAACTTGGTATGGTAGGTTCTTTTCTGTAGTCTCAATACTCAAGGTGGAGGCAGGACAATCAGGAGTTCACATTCTTGACTACATAGCAAGTTTGAGGCCAGTCTGGAATATGTAAGACTCTGATTAAATAATAATAAAATAATAATAACAATAATAATAAAATTGAAAGTGGTGTTATTGATTTTTAGATCAACAATACAAAAATATTTTTAGAATTAAAAAATCTTATTTTAGGTTCTTATTTATTTAATTTAGAATCAATCTTATTTTACATATGAATCCCATTTCCCTCTCCTTTCCATCCTCCCATGCCTGTCACCAACTCCCCCAACTCCACCTCTCATCCACTCCCCAGGGAAGGGGAGGCCTTCCATGGGGGACCATAAAAAATCTGTGGGATCATTTGGGGTTGGGCCTAGGCCCTTCTGCATGTATCTGGGATGAAAGAGTATCCCTCCATGGGGAATGGGCTCCCAAAGTCCATTTGTGCACTAGGGATAAATACTGGTTCCACTGTCAAAGGTCCCAATGACTGCCCACGCCTCCTAACTGGCACCCACATTCAGAGGGCTTGATTCGGTCCAATGCTGGTTCCCCAGCTTTATGACTGGAGTCTGTGTGCTCTCACTTGGTCAGGTCAGCTGTTTCTGTGGGTTTCTCCAGCAAGTGCACGCTCCTTAATCCCAGTGCTCAAGAGGTAGAGGCAGTTTTCTGAGTTTGAGGCCAGCCTGGTCTACAGAGTGAGTTCCAGGACAGCCTGGGCTACACAGAGAAACTCTGTCTTGGGGGAAAAAAAGAAAAGAAAGAAAGAGAAAGAATACAGAAGGTATTCTGGGCCCTTGGTGCGATGGTTTCAGCCTCCAAGCCTATGGGTTTGTGCTGGCTCCTAGAATCCATGTGGTGGAAGGAAGAGAACCATTTCAAGCAAGCTGTCCTCTGATCTGCAAATGCACCCACACATACACACACACACACACACACACACACACACACACAAATTAAAATAAAATAAAATGTATAAAACTGTAAAATTCTGGTTTAAAAAGTAAATATAGTCAGTCATGGTGGTATGCTGGGGAGACCTGCTACAGAGGCTAAAGTAGGAGAAGGATCCAAGCTTGAGGGCACCTGGTTGAAGACTGTCCAGCTAAACTAGATAGACAGAGACAGGCAGAGACAGAGACAGCCCCAGGGCTTCATGCATGCTTCACAAACAATCTATCATCAGGCTGTGCCAATCCTTACAGTCTGATTCTCTGAATTTCCAACTGTTTTCACTCTCTTCCTTGACCATCCAATCTAAACTAGTAAAGAATCTGTAACACAAATTAATAAAAATCCAGAGACTGATATTGGGGTTCAAACTTCAACCTGAAGATCAGAAAAGCAAAGCAGCCAAGCCAAAGATTTCTCACCTCTACCAATGCTCAGACTGAAGGGGCGATCCTGTCCTCTGATTGCATCTCCAAACTGCCCTGCTCTCCTCAGACTTGCTCACACTTCCTGTTTACTCAGTTAACATTAATTTCTTCTCGGATCTCTGAGGGAGTTAAAGACTAGATAGTTATAGTTATAGTTTTCTTTGTTTACCAGACTCAGAGAAGAAACTCACTAAAGAAATGTAAAGTAGCCGGCGTTAGTGCTGCAAGCCTTTAATCCCAGCACTCGGGAGGCAGAGGCAGGGGGATCTCTATGAGTTCGAGGCCAGCCTGGTCTACAGAGTGAGTGCCAGGATAGCTTCCAAAGCTATACAGAGAAACCCTGTCTCAAAAGAAGAAAGAAAGAAAGAAAGAAAGAAAGAAAGAAAGAAAGAAAGGTAAAGTATATAAGGTTGAGGGACATTAAAAGATAATTTTGAGTTGATAATGCAAATTAGACTAGAAAGTAAATTAGGCACAAGACTTCAGACTCACCAAAAGAGAATAGATAATATTTTCTCTGAATTTGTCAAATGCAAATGGACTAGACATTGTTGATATAGTTATTGCCTGTATATATTGCATATACTTATTATACTTATTGTATATAGTTTTTCTTATATTTGTTGTAGCCTTCTTTTTGTATTAGACAAAAAGGGGAAATGTGGTGATATATTTTTGATGATTTATTAAAGCTTTCCTGAGGGTTAAGAATGCAAAGCTAGCCTTAAGCCATAGAGGCCAGGCAGTGGTGATAACACTCCTTTAATCCCAGCAGTCATACCAGCAAGCCATAGAGCCAGGCAGTGGTAGCACACATTCAATCCTAAGACTCAGGAGACAGGCAGATGAATCTCTCTGTGTTTAAGGCCACCCTGGCCTACACAAGAGTGAACAGTTACAGAACTTATGCCTTTGATCCCAGCACTAGGGAGGTGGAGACCCGAGTGAAATCACTGGGTGGAAAGAGGAATATAAGGTGGGAGAAGACAGGAGCTCAGAGTTTTTGCCTCTAAGGATTCATGGAGACAGGATTGCCATTTCAGCTTGGTGGAGGTAAGATCTACTGGCTTGGCTGCTTGGCTTTAGTCTTCAGCTTGAAGCTTGAACCCCAGTATAGGTCCCTCAGACTTTTATTTTTCATGTTAAAGGAATTGTGGAGAAAAGAAGCATAGGTAATATTAATTGACCACCGGGATCCTGGTGTGCTGTTTACTTGAAAACTTTAATTTTTCTTAAAAGAACAAATGTTATTTTATGTATCATAAATGCATAATCTTTATAAGAAATTCAAATAGTTGGATGGTAGTGACTCACACCTTTAATACCAGCACTCAGGAGACTGAAGCAGACTCTGAGTTCCAGGCTAGCCTTATCTACAGAGAGAGTTCCAGGACAGCCAAGGCCAGACAGAGAAATCCTGCCTCAAAAACCAACCCCCCCCTCTAAAAGTTCAAATATTCCCAAAATGCTTAACTTAGGAAATAAATGTCTAGAAAAGTCACACTGAAAAATAATATGTGAAAAGAGTATTCTTGCATAAACTTCTAAATTTCATTTATTATTATTATTATTATTATTATTATTGATGGAGTCTTACTCATTGGTCAAACTGGTCTTGAACTCAAAATCCTCTCAGTTCAGCCTCCCAAGTTTCTGGGACTTTAGGCACATGCTACCATCCTGAGCTAAGATCCTATATGCACATTTTAACCTATACATTAATTTGAATATAAGCTAAGTAATTAACAAGCACCAGCTGGGTGGTGGTGGTGCATGCCTTTAGTACCAGCACTTGGGAGGCAGAGGCAGGAGGATCTCTGTGAGCTCAAGGCCAGCCTGGTCTCCAAGAGCTAGTTCCAGGACAGGCTCCAAAGCTACACAGGGAAATCCTGCCTTGAGAAACAAAAAATAAATAATAAAAAAAGCACCTATACTACATATTCATATTATGCAAGATTACATAGATGCAAATGTTAACTTTGCAAAAATATAACTGAATATTATCCATTCAGTATCTACTATTTTCACACACACTGCCTTTATAAAAAAAAAAAAATAGAATGCGCTCTCTCGACAGGCGTCCTCATTAGAGTAACATCGTCTTTAAACCTTGCGTGGCAATCCCTGACGCACCCGCCGCCGTGATGCCCAGGGAAGACAGGGCGACCTGGAAGTCCAACTACTTCCTTAAGATCATCCAACTTTTGGATGATTACCCAAAATGCTTTATTGTGGGAGCAGACAATGCGGACTCAAAGCAGATGCAGCAGATCCGCATGTCCCTTCAAGGGAAGGCTGTGGTGCTGATGGGCAAAAACACCATGATGCGCAAGGCCATCCGGGGGCACCTGGAGAACAACCCAGCTCTGGAGAAGCTGCTGCCCCACATCCGGGGGAATGTGGGCTTTGTGTTCACCAAGGAGGACCTCACTGAAATTAGGGACATGCTGCTGGCCAATAAGGTAAGGGGGGAATCAGACTGGGTGAAGAGTGGAAGCAGAATTTAACCATCCCCATGTTTATCGGTTTCTCACTGTTCATACCTTTGTTCTGTTCAGGTGCCGGCTGCTGCCCGTGCTGGTGCCATCGCCCCATGTAAGGTCACTGTGCCAGCCCAGAACACTGGTCTGGGGCCCGAGAAGACCTCTTTCTTCCAGGCTTTGGGCATCACCACTAAAACCTCCAGGGGCACCATTGAAATTCTAAGTGATGTGCAGCTGATAAAAACTGGAGACAAAGTAGGAGCCAGTGAAGCCACACTGCTGAACATGCTCAACATCTCCAGCTTCTCCTTTGGGCTGATCATCCAGCAGGTGTTTGACAATAGCAGCATTTACAACCCGGAAGTGCTTGACGTCACAGAGCAGACTCTGCACTCACGCTTCCTAGAGGGTGTCCGAAATGTTGTCAGTGGTTGTCTGCAGATTGGTTACCCGACTGTTGCCTCAGTGCCACACTCTATCATCAATGGGTACAAGCGGGGCCTGGCTTTGTCTGTGGAGACTGAGTACACCTTCCCACTTGCTGAAAAGGTCAAGGCCTTCTTGGCTGATCCATCTACATTTGCGGCTGCTGCCCTGTAGGAAGCCGGTTCCTGCATTATAATGTCGCCTGAAGTCTCCACTCTGGTAAAATGCATTAAAGCTTGTCTGCAGAAGGATCCGAGTGTCCTGCGTATGATTTCTTGCTGGCGAGGAATACAGAGCGGGCGCAGGACATATGGTGCCGAAACCCGGGAAGCTTAACATCTCCGGCACCGCCGAGACCCCTTGGCTACAAGGCGGATTCAGAACTGCAGGATGGTAAATTCGGAGAGGTATGATTTTTCTGGACTTTGGCTTGAGAAAGAAGTCCAAAATTACATATCAGAAACCAAATGTAATGAGAGAAATTCGGAGAGGTATGATTTTTCTGGACTTTGGCTTGGGAATGTTGCTATTGTGGGAGGTTACTATAGAGGCTTCTATGCTTTTACTAGGAGCTATTTTGACTTTTCTCACTGTTGTAGCAATCTTAAAGAAGTCCAGAATTACATATCAGAAACCGAATATGGTGAGAGATGGGGCGCGCCTAACAATAAAATATAAGAAAAAAGGACCTCCCGGGATGTCTAGTGACAAGGGAGTATGTACAGCAACAAATAAGAAAAAAGGACCTCCCGGGATGTCTAGTGACATGGGAGTGTATGTAAGAAGAGAAACTACAACATATAAGAAAAAAGGACCTCCCGGGGTGTCTAGTGACAAGGGAGTGTATACAGCAACAAATAAGAAAAAAAAGACCTCCTAGAATGTCTACTGACAAGGGAGTGAAAGGAACAGCTCAGCTGGATGAGGGAGAGACAGAGAAGGAGGGAGAGAGAATGGGGAATGGCCGGTCACACCCCGGTAAATTTAGGAGAGATGAGGAACCTAGCCTCTGCCCTGCAACGAAACTGGAAGCCTTGGAGCTGAGCAGCTCAGACTCTGAGCTTTTAGACTCTAACAAGGAAGCAGAGCTAGAGAAAGAAGCAACACGACCAAAAATGCCAGCGGGTGTGCTTCTATCAGCACACCCACTATTTGGAACCGACTCCTTCTTACCATCAGAGG